ATATTTTCACTTGCCTTCTTCTCCAAACTTTTGTGTGCCTGCTGGGTGGGCTATGCTGGAGTCACACAGGACCCAGAGTGGTGTAAGACACCGTGGCCTGCGTGGCATGACCCCGGACTTCTGAAAAGAAGGGGCTGGTAGAGTCGGAAGGAGACAAGTTGGCAGCAGAGTTGAAACCCTCAGGATTGACTGTAGGACAAGCAATGAAAGGAGCCACTGAGGAGTTACTCAGTCCCCTGGGGAGCTTAGATGTAAGACCAGCACCAGCCAGCACTCCCCAGCTCTGTGTCCCTGGGTCTGACTGAACTTGACTGCATTTTAGCTGCCTCTTTTGTGAGCAATCTTCCCCTTTTTCTGGAGCAACAATACCTTCCTTGAGTGTGCAGTCAGTAGATGGCAGCCAGTGTTCTCTTCCCGTGAGGAGACTCAGAGCCTCCTAATTAGAGGGTGGTCTAAAAGCAAATGTATCCATCCACAGAAGGTCTGAAAGGTTTTAATAGAATCTTGACTAGGTAGCTCTTCTTGATCTAACTAGTACTTTCTAGAAGTGTGGCCTGTGGCGCTCTGTCTAGGGTACTTGCTCCTCCCATCCACCTCCACCTTGCTGTCCTGTGCTGTGACTCTCACTAGCTCAGCCATGGGGTCGGGAAGCCCCACCAGGAAATGCTAGATTTGGAGGCATTGCCAGGGTCACCACAAACCATATTCACACAAGGTAATAATAGACTAATGAAATGACTGTGACTAACAGGTTAATGTGATTAAAAGAACATATACAAGCAACAGCATTTTTCTGAATTCTCCTAAATACAAATCTGAATGTGTTTACCTTTAGAAAGATTTTCCCAGAAAATTGTCAGTGTTCTTGCATTTGAAAATAGATCAGATCTCCTCTCTCTTGTTTTGAAAATCTCAAGTATGTTTAGCCTCTCCTCAGAGTGACAGCGGCACAAGAAGTTTATAATCTTATGCACAGGTAAATGCAAACTGAAAGGCGTGGTTTGCGGGTATTTCGTTTTCCCCATAATGTTCATCAATTTGGCAATTCAAATAGGATTCAGAATCCAAGGTATTCACAGCATTTTATATGAAAATGTGCATGAGAGTTTGGGGAATAGAAATTCCTACCAATGAGTTAAATTTTTTCTGGATAAGAATGTATTTTATAAAATGCAGAAAACTAAGAACAAAGTTGAACATCTTTTTCATGTGCAACTTTTCATCAAACAATGGCCTGAATTTACTAAAGGAAAGAGAACAAGGTTGAGAGGTCATCACTGAATAATAGCTTCCCTAATCCCACAGTGACTTTCTTATGACAAGCAAGAGGGTCACCTTAGAGGCAGGACTGTCTTCATGGGCAAGGCAAGTCAGCACCTGCAAACCTCTCCAAGTGAGAGAAAAAGCAGGTTGTATGGCTCCCTTTTCAGCTTGCCAGAAGCACCGTGGGATTATTGTCAGACTGCACAGCCCCTGGGGCCAGCCGGCTCCTGGAGTACATTCAAGGAGCTCTCAGTGACTGCTGTGCATACTCACCTGCTCTGTGACTTCGTTCAGTCCCTACCCTGGATGTGCGGTGTGCCAGGCTCAGCTCCTGGAACAGTGAGGTCCCTGAGGGGGTGGGGCTAGGAAGTGTAGCAGCCACACTTGCCCAATTGTTGGTTCACTGGGTGGGAATTTGTTCATTTGGGGACACCATTACTTCCCATGCTTCACGTGTAGGTGAGTGTGTGTATATTTGCATTAACACACACAAACACGCTTATGTGTGTCCCTGTGTGTGCAACTGTAGAACCTTACACACCTTCCAGTGCCTCTCAAGCATCATAAATCCAGCTTCCACAAAACCTCTGCTACCCACCTGGCATCAGTAGAGCTTCCAGTGAATGGCTTTAGCATGGAACAGAGTGAGTTTCCACATTGCCTATTGTACATAATTACCTGTTCAGCTAGAATAGTACACGCTTCATTTTCTGGGCTCAGAAGTTTATGTGCATGAACATAGATGCTACAGGAGCCAGAGTAAGCTCTTATCAATTCAGCATTACTGTGGAGACAGGACACAAACTAGTAAGTCCAGCTATATTTTGTTTTTTAAACAATTTTGTGACATTTAGGGAACCACATATTTGAGACAAAAATAAACAAATAAATTTGAATTACACTAGGCAAAGAACTGATTATTTTCAAACGTGATTGACATTCAATATCCACCTTTCCAAAAGAAGACATCCATGTGGCCAACAATCATATGAAATAAAGCTCAACATCACTGACCATTAGAGAAATGCAAATCAAAACCACAACGACATACCATCTCACACCAGTCAGAATGCTTATTAATAAAAAGTCAAAAAAATAACAGATACTGGTGAGTTGTAGAGAAAAGGGAATGTTTATACACTTTTGGTGAGACTGTAAATTAGTTTAACCATGTGGAAGAAGACAGTGGGGCAGTTCATCAAAGACCTAGACACCATTTGACCCAGCAATCCAATTACTGCATATATACCCAAAGAAAAATGAATTGTTCTACCATAAGTCACATGCACTCATATGTTTGTTGCAGCACTATTCACAATAGCAAAAACATGGAATCAACCTACATGCCCATCAATGATCAACTGGATAAAGAAAATGTGGTCGACATACACTGTGGAATACTATGCAGCCATAAAAAAGAATGGGATCCTGTCCTTTGCAGGAACATGGATAGAGCTGGAAGCCATTATCCTTAGCACACTAACCCAGGAACAGAAAACCAAGTACACATGTTCTCACTTTTAAGTGTGAGCTAAATGAGGAGAACACATGGACACATAGAAGAGAACAACATACACTGAGGGTGGAGGGTGGGAGAAGGAAGAGGATTAGGAAAAATAATAGGTAGTAGACTTAATACCTGGGTGGCAAAACCATCTGTATAACAAACTGCCATGACATGAGTTTACCTATGTAACACACCTGCATATTTACCCCTGAGTCTAAAAGTTAAATTTCTAAAAAATTTAATGTCTATTACAGTATTCTTTATACTAAATGGCAATGTGTGGAATGGGAAGTGTCTTGACAGAATTCAGTGTTTCAAGGCTTACGCTTTGACTACCCAAGACTGCAAAAGCCTACATTTTCTACTGGTGAGACAAATTTGAGACCCATTGCATTCAGATCTAATCTCTTAACTTCCTAATCTTCAGTGTATTCAGTGTGTCGGTAAACATGAAGCCTCCCCAGTGCTGTAGTCATCATCATAAGTACAACAGGTGGCTGAGCTCCGCTCTAGAGCTGCAGGGATATATTAGGAAGTTAACTCTCAAAGCAAGTCATCTTCAAGCACCATATCAGCATTATCAACACTATAAGCAGTATCTCAGTGCTTTGATGTTTAGTCAGAGTTTTTTGTTTGTTTGTTTGTTTTTGAGACGGAGTTTTGCTCTTGTTGCCCAGGCTGGAGTGCAATGGCACGATCTCGGCTCACCGCAATCTCCGCCTCCTGGGTTCAGGCAATTCTCCTGCCTCAGCCTCCTGAGTAGCTGGGATTACAGGCACGCGCCACCATGCCCAGCTAATTTTTTGTATTTTTAGTAGAGACGGGGTTTCACCATGTTGACCAGGATGGTCTCGATCTCTCATGATCCACCTGCCTTGGCCTCCCAAAGTGCTGGGATTACAGGCTTGAGCCACTGTAGTCAGAGTTTTGTACTCTATCACTGTGGTAATGTTCCCATTTGCAAAAGGTGATACATACCCTTTAAGACATCTTTGCCTTTTCTCCCATTATCTGAGATGCTAGCAACTCCACGAAGCAGAATATGGGCAAACAGATTATATAAAGGGCTGGAGCTCAATGAAGATGACAAGCGCAGCAAAGGTTATTGCAAAATTGGCTCTTTGCGGGCCAACAAGCACGTCCCCATGAAGGCAATTTATGCTACCTGTGTTTGATGGGACTCATAATATGGACTTATCCATTAGATTTGGACTAAATAAAATAAGCAGATAAAGAGTAAAGATTTGCTAGGAAATGATTCAACGAGTCACTTCAAGAAACAGCTTTCAAAATGTCTCTTAAACTATGATGCCTGTTATTCCAATAATTTATTTCTCAATAATTTCATGGGAAAAGAAGGAGGGTCTGTGGTCAGATAAGCCTGGAAAACACTGGTTTAAGCAAAGTTCAATAGGTCTGTTTCCTGCAGGTCAGCTCAGAGTCTTTATTCTGCTAACCTAGGAACTCATCCAACACATTGGATGTAGCAGCTACAGTGTGCATGCAACTTCAGCAGTTGCTGAGATGTGACTCTTGGAGGGAGAATTTTGTGTGTGCATACGCATGTGTGCACATGTGCAGAATCTGCCAAATCTTAAGGAAAAGGAATATGCTGGGAAACTGTCCTATGAAAGAGAATAGGAACCTGAAGACTTGAGGCAGGGATAGTATTTATGAAAGCAGCTGATAAGGATTACTCACCAAAATGGGTAGCTCTTTTGTGGATTGGGGAAAACAATAATTTTCCCCCACCCAATGTGCTGCATTTTCTAATTTTCTATGAATGCTTTCTAAGAAAAAGCTGAATGCAGAACATTTGCAATGCCATCAGCTCATTAAGAAGCACGCACTTTTGTGGAGATAACGTGCTGTCCCAGGAGACGCTCTGCGAGGAGCCTGAGGTTCTGGATCGGAGCTGCTGAATGGTTTCTCAAAGTTCTAGAATGTTTGGAGCTGCACCCTCTAAGATGTCAAAGCCATCAGTACTTGCTCCAAACCACTTTATGGGATATGATGCTGTGAGTTGAGGCCTGAGGGGATTGTGGTCCTGTTCATGAGTAATTACTTTTCTTTTGCCTGTAGGGGGGCCAGCAATAGCACATGAGTAGCTCAACAGTGGTTTTGAGTAATAAAACGTTCTTTTTTAAAAAGTAATGCTTTCTTTTAAACTCTGACTGTATCTCTCTACTGGTATCACAACCCAGCTTTCTTTTTGCCTTCTTTATTGCAGTTACATATGGGGCTGATGACTTTAGGGATTTCCATGCAATAATTCCCAAATCTTTCTCTCGTAAGTATTTACCTTGCTTCTGGAAAACAAAAGCATGCCTTCATCTCAGTCCATCATGTAAATATCATGTGTGCATGTTCCTTCATTAATGCCTTTCTCACGCTTGAAAGAAAGGAGATACATTAAAAATTCACTGTTCTATTCGTTAGACACCCAATGTATCATTTATGGGTATTTATACCATGAAGTGCAAAAGGAAGGTCTAGGCAGCTGTGCGGTGTGCTGGGAGGGTGGCAATGGAGTCACAGTGAGGGCTGGAGTTGCAGTAGCACTGATGGGATTGTCACTTCGCTGGTGCTGCTGGAGAGCTTTGAGATTACTGTTGTGACGATCTCCTTTTTATTGAGTGTGGCCATACTTTCAGTCACCAGCGAAGAACTGAACATGGTTTCAGATAGTTTTTACAAATTTGTGGAACAGGAGAAAGAGACAGTCTCTTCATCTGTGGCTTTGGAGTATTAATTTCAGAACTGAGAAGAGAAAATCGCAGGCCTCCAGGCCGTTTCTCTGTGGCACGTTGCTGCTGGAGCCAACGTTCTGTTCATGCTTAGTGCCCACAGGACCTTCTCTGATCTGAGCTGTTAAACCAAAAACAGATGTGAATTTCATTTTTCTTTTTTAGGTATTGAGAGCTGATAAATGATAAATATATTTGAGTAACATCCTCAAAGGAGTACTTTAAAGAACAGAGAGTGCTTTTTAAAAATGTATAGAGAGCTGAATATTTTAAAGTCATACAAGATCCCTTAGGATCTGTATTAGTAAATTCTCTAATACTGTAAAGCACCATTAGAAAACAGGTCACCTTTGTTAACACTGTGACAGTCATAATTACAGGCTCTAATTCAAAAGTGCCAGTAACAGTTAAAGATAGGTTTCTTACATCCTTGTTATCAAATACTATCTGGTGTCTAAGGAATTTAATAGTACCAATCCAAGTGTACCCTTTTGCTTATAACCTAGGTTGGCTACTTTTCCAGTCTATAAAAGTTACAGAATCTTTGTTTTACTGATATTTCTTTGATCACTTTAAACAATAGCTTGATACCTACTGTGACATGTCTATGTATGTACATGTAAATGCTTGTATGTGTGTATCTGTTTACATGTAAGCTTATATGAACATATAAAACATTACAGTATTGGGCAGAGAACTAATATTGATCTGAAGAATCATATTATTGAAGGGTTTTGAGAAGTCAAATGCACTTGGGAGTAAGCTAGTGCACCCTAAAACATGGTTCTGTGACGTCTGAGGAAGATGTCAGCCAGAGCACACTGAAGTGTTGAAGCAGACTCCCGTGAAGACTTCAGACTGTGAGAATCACTGCATGTACAGATGTATTATTATGATGCTTACACTTTTTGTAAAAGAGATGATATACACTTGGATACACTTTCTGTCTGTATATTTATGCAACTGTGTCCATAAAGTATTGGTGCCTCTCTTACCCCTTCTTCCCAGTGTTGGAATTGTGACTGTCCTCTTCACACAAATAGAAGAGGTCTGCCTTTCCCCCAAAACAGCAACCAAACTGTTCTGGGCCAATATCACCACCTTGTGGTCATAATGAAGAATTGCCCTCTTTGCCCTGAACACCTCTTTTCTTCTTAAAAATTAAAAACAACCCCTTTGACCCTCTCTACTGTCCTCATTCCGGTCTGTGTACCTAGCTGCTGGAGGAAAGAAAATGTCTATATGCTTGTAGCTTGCTCTTTTTTAACCTGTTAATCTTTTTACTCTCTTGCCTTTCTTTTCTCTCCCGACCTTATTCCATTTAAAGGTCTTAAATTGCAAATAAGGAGAAAAGTATTTTCTAATAATGTAGCCTGGTGGGATGAAAACAACCATCTACATTTTAAATGATATTAAGTTATAATAAATGGTTCCATTAACCTTAAAATGCTTAAAAGTTTTATCAGTCTCTTTTAGAGGCAGCACAAAAATATCTCTATTTATCTCCTCTTCATCTCAAATTTTCATTTAATTACCGTGATTCAAGAGATACCTTATTTTCATTTCATTTGCTTTTTACTTGCTAGTCCCCAGTGTTGTAAGAATATTTCTGTCTACTAGTTGTCAAGTAAAATATTGAGCATTTCAAGCTTACATGGCCTAAACCCACACTGGAGTGACTATTTTGAACTATCTTTCCAATGGAAAAATGCATTCTGAGTGCCGAACACTTACTTTTTCAGTAAATATGAAGACACATTCTAAAAAGGAAAGGGAAATGAAGAGGAAGCATAACTCATTGGTCAGGTGGGGACTGACAGTGTACGTTATACCTATGCATTAAAAAATGTTTAATTATCCATGAGCACATACAGTGCCTGGCACAGATTCCGGCCTCTTGGCTCCTGTTGGCATCTCAGTTCCTTGAATTATCCAGATTCTTCAGTCCAAACTCGTCTGTCTACCAAAGTTCACCTTCCATACAGGGGTGTGGGGTCTCTCTTAGTCTCCTGTTGGGTGCCAGTGACATAGAAGGCCTCCAAGATAGGACAATGAAATTTTAATTTTTCCCAATTTTAAATAGCATCTGAGAAGGACAGCAGCTCTTGACTGGGACTTTGAAAGCATCCACTCTTCATATTTATTGCTTCATTTATTGAATAATAAAACTGGGCTCTTGTCCATTATCTCTTCGTCAGTGAAAGGGCCCAGGGTGGGCCTGAGCCAGAGTGTTCTGGGGAAAGAGAAGACCAGTCTCCATTTCATGTTCTATATTTAATCAGTTCATTTCAGCACCTTACTGAGTTTGGCATTTTTCTAAGTCATGGGGTGGTGGGGTTACAAAATATTTATAAGTATCTTTCCTATCTTCAGGGAGATGTACCATTTCACTGAAGCAATACCACAGCTAAGCAGTTCCAGCTCCAAGTACCAGAGGAGGGAGTGAGCAGTTTAGGAACTCACAGAAGGGCATGGCCAGGCAACTTGGGCCCTGGCAAATGTTCCATAGAGACCGCATCCATAGAGTTGGACCAATCACAGTGCCTGCAAATCAGGGGCAGGCAGGTTTATGGAACTGATTCTGGGGCAGGTATGATCAGCATTAAAGGAATGGCAGTTGTTAGGAAACTGAAGGAGTTTCTCATATGTCATTTTCAACAGAATTAAGCAGGAGCCTTGAATATATCCCTTTTGGTGGGCTCCGGGGTATTATGACGCTGCCTGCAGGTGGGCAGCTTCAGTAAGGCCCATTCCTTCCCACCTCCTCTCTCATTAGTGGAAGCAACAGCTGGTGTCATTGTCTTCTGCAGGATGATGGTTTCCAAAATGAAGGAAAGGGCCCGCAAAACTCACATTCTTGCAGAGCCTCCCTCACAAGTGGATGTGTTCACTGCCATCAACAGGCCAAGCCCACTTGTTCTTTTCTTCTAGGTAAAGGGAAAGGCCTGCAAGACAAAGGTCCTGAACTCCTCGCTCCTTGAATGGGAGGCATATTGATGGAGGCTGTCACACAACTACGGTGGCAGGCACTTGCCATCAGGGCTCCCACCAGCCTCCAGGGCTTGCTTCTCTGCCCTCTATGTGGACGCCTTCCACAGCTGCAAACCCCTCTCTCAGAAGAACCCCTTCTTGCACTCACCTCCCACTTGCCTCTCCTGGGCACCTTCTTCACTCTCAGGGGCCAAACTGAGGAAGTGTGAATCCTGTGCCACCAATCTTGCTCTCAGGAGTTAGTTTCATGCCCCACCGATTGACTTTCTTCCAAACCTGCACCAGCCTGTGCTGTGCTTTTTAAAGGAGGCATACATACAGCCTGGCTGGTACAGAAGATTCCAGATTTCGGTGAGTACAGGACTCCGTGACTCCTTCTTCTGTCTTTCTTTCTTCTGTCCACATCTCTGATTGAGCTTACCTTCCAGGGAAAACCCCAGAAGCCTTTTTCACACTTACATGGGAAGCCAAGACCCTCTCATTCTGGGCTTGTGTTTTTAAAATGTGTATTTTAAGTTCACAGGTCCTTACATTTATGACTCATAGGTTTCAGATTTTGAGATCCAGTCTATAGTTGCAACTTACGAAGATAGTTTGAAGCCCTGATTTCTGTCCCCTATGAAAACCATAAGCAAGTTGTTGGTATTCTCCTCCTAGCTAGATAAGAGACCCCATTTTCCTGAACAGCCTCCTTGGGTGGACAGAAGTCTCTTGATCTCGTCTATATAACCAGCACCCCGTCTGCATTTTTCCACAAAGAAACGAGGACCTTAACCCTATTTACGGGAAATCCACACACTGCTTGAATCTAATGTGCCCCATGGGGACAGTGTTGGCCACTCTGTTCCCACCAAATCCTGCCGGCACCCAGCAGTTATCCAGCCCCTGTCTTAGACTTTACAGACCTTTCCTGTCATAAAATGTCTTAGAACTTGTCTGAATAGCACTGGAAGCTTCCAGCCCTGGAACGCTCAGCACCTGCCATCTAACTCCTGTTTAAAAGGTGTTGAGCATTTGCTAACACAGGCTTCTCTGTCCTTTTTCCATTGTTTTTGCTTTTTCGCCCTCACCCACAGTGATCTGTGGATATTGTCTACATACTCATTTTTAGAAACCTAGAGCATCTCAGCATTTTTAATTTTCCTCTTCAAATTCTATCTCTTCCTGAGTTGATCATCCCTACTGCCGTTCCTACAGACCTGTGTGACCAATCTTCTGTAGATGTCCTTACACCTAGCCATCCGGTGTAAGGATGGAGATGTAGGTACCTATCTCCCTAGGATTGTACTTGGTATCCACATCAATCTCAGGACAGTATGTGATAGCCTCTTGTGCCTTTTGAGCCTCTTTCTCTTCTGGTTCTGTTACATCTCTCGGAGATAGTGTCATGAAGGCTAACAAGGACAGAGTGCTGCTTTCAGCCACCATTTGTCCAATGAGTGACTCATCTCCAGGCTTCTGGCTTTGAGGACATCCGTGATATCTAAGGCAGCATCCATCGTGGGCTTTCCCCATGCTTCTGCTTCCTTCCTGACACATAGCTTTGCCTCCTCATGCAAGCAGCCTGCTATAGCAGAACTGGTGCTCCTGATGCCAGAAACCCAAAGCTTGTGTCCAAAGCTTCCCTGCTGTTCTGCTCCCTTCCTGCAAGTGCCCACACATTCATCAAGAGCACACGCCATAGAGCATGCCAAAGAATCCCAGAAATACTCGTTCTTAATAATCCAGAAGAACAGTTGATGGCTTCTGGCAAGTTCTAGTAGGCCATATGTGCCCATGGGAAAGCAAGAGTCAATTCTCTGAAATTGGTTGCCTCTACATTTATGAAGTCAAGCTGCGTAGGGGAACATTCCAGGGGGATTATCCCAATGCCCATTCTTCTGCGTGCCGTCCTTTCTCTAGCCTCTGAAGCACTCAGCCTACACCTTCACTATGGCCCTTGTCTTAGCGCCTGTATTTGTAAAACTTGCCACTACAATCTGAATTTGCTCCATTGTGTTCTAATCTCATTTTTTAAACAAGATAAATGATTAAAAATATATATTTCTTTGAGACAGAGTCTGGCTCTGTCACCCAGGTTGGAGTGCAGTGGCACAATCTTGGCTCACTGCAATCTTCACCTCCTTGAAGCAATTCTCCTGCCTCAGCCTTCTGAGTAGCTGAGATTACAGGCATGCCACCATGCCTGGCTCATTTTTTATTTTTAGTAGGAATGGGGGTTTCACCATGTTGGTCAGGCTGGTCTTGAACTGCTGACCTCGTGACCCACCTGCCTTGGCCTCCCAAAGTGCTGGGATTACAGGCGTGAGCCACCACACCCAGTCCTAAAATTAATCTTAGATTAAGGAGTACACAGATCTTTGCAGCCTCATTGTGTTTCCAGAGCAGGCTAGTGTAGACACTGGTGAGCAAGGAGGGCCTAGAGAATTAGGTTCCTCCCAAAAAGATGCACAGCCCCTACCTGAGAGTACCGATTCCAGAGAACTCAATGGTCATTAAGAACCATTGCCTCTACAGCCAACCAGCCTCACCTGCCTGCCTGTCTCCTTTGTTTTCCAAGAATCTCATCCCTGGCAGTGGGGAGAGGATAGCAGGAGGCTGCTCAGATGCTCTGAGGCTCTGATCCTCAGAATCTGAAGGGGAGAGCATTTGGAGAATCCCCACTGCTGGATTTCTCAGGATGATCCTGCATAATGCCAGGATCTGTTGGAGGAGACAGGCATCTCTGTTCAGCCTCCGTAGCATCCTCACTTCAGCGCTCTCCAAGTCCACCATGTCCCAGTTAATTCATTTGATGTCCTTATTCATCTGTAAGTCATTTCCCTAAAGAGCTAATGGGAAAATACTAGAGTACAGTCAGCCCACCATAGCCATAGGTCCAGCCTCTGCAGATTCAACTCACCATGGCTTGAAAAAACAGTATTCGAGAGACACAGAACCTGTGGGTACGGACAGCTGATTTTTCGTAACCATAGGTTCTCTAGCACCAATTTAGGGACTTGCGCATCCATGGACCTTCAGAAGCTTCAGAACCGATGCACTGCAGTTACCAAGGGATGGCTGTATAAGGGTTAGGAATTTGGGTGTTGGAGCCAGGCTACCTGCAGTTACCTTCCAGCTCTGCCCCTTGCTAGCTATGTGACCTTAGCAAGTTGTTCAGTCTCTCTGTGCCTTGGCTTCTTCAACTGTAAAAGGGGATAATGATAGCACTGCCCTTAGGGAGTTGTTGTGAAGGTTAAATAGCAGAGTGCAATGAACGTGCTGTGTGCTTGCTGTGTGCCCAGCACGTGGTGTTGGGGTTAGGTAGAACACTGTACGGGAACCACTGGGGGTGAGCTTCCACCTGCCATGCCCCAGCCCCTGTTGTCAGCTGACTTCTCATCTGTCAGCCCTGTTAGGCTGGTGCTATAATAATTCCCATTTTCATGGATGAGGAAATCAAGGCACAGAGAAGTTACATGACTTGCCTAAGATCTCAGCGTTTCTAAATAGTGCAGCTAAGACTCCAGACCAGGTGTTTTTATTTCAGTGTCTGGATTGTAGTTCTCTAAATCAAGAGGAACTCACCGAATAAAATAAGCTGGGAGTGTTATTAACTAAGTTAGTTATTTAAAACAATTGCTCTCAGTCCCCAGTGTGCCTTAGAATCTTCTGGAGTGTTCATTAAAACAGACTGCTGGGCCCACAGCCGAGCTCCCAAGCCAGCAGCTCTGGGGTAAGCCTGGGAGTCTGTGTTTCTAGCAAGTTCTCAGGCGATGGTGATGCTGCTTCTCCAGGGACCAAACTCAGAGAACCGTTGATTGAAAATGTTCATCTAAAATTATGTAGTTTAGGCTGAGCACAGTGGCTCATACCTGTAATCCCAACACTTTGGGAGACGAAGACAGGTAGATCACCGAGCTCAGGAGTTTGAGACCAGCCTGGGCAACATGGCAACACCCATCTCTACAAAAAAATACCAAAAAAAAAAATTGGCCAGATATGGTGTTACACAACTTTAGTCACAGCTACTAAGGAGGTTGAGGTGGGAGGATGACTCTATCCTGGGAGACAGAGGCTGCAGTGAACCGTGCCACTGCACTCCAGCCTGGGTGACAGAGGAAGACCCTGTCTCAAAAATACATATATATGTGTTTAGTCTTGATTTTCATCTGTCTTATTGATCATTTTACTTAGCAGAATTTACCTACCTACTCTTACTAGTCTGTAACAATGGTTATTAAAATGATGGCTTTCAGTGTAACTACAAATTCTCTTAGTCATTACAGTGTTGGATTCACCAGTGTATCATCAGTCAGTTTTCTGAAGTGTGCAAATGAAATATCTCCTATCTTTTTTAGGAAGGAAAATATTTGAATGACATAATTACCCTAACACGTGTAACTTAAAGGAAACAGTAATGCAGAGTCAGTAGTGGTCATTATATTCAAGACACAAAAAGTTCACCTCCCACCCGCACCCCACACAAGCTTCTTTCTCTTTGGAAAAAACACTCTTCCAGATATCTACATTCATAAACTATCCCAACTAACCCTTCAGCAAGTAGAAGTGGTGGAAAAATGACACCGTTCCTTTAGAACACAGGGTTCATTTGCGTTATTTAAGATAAACAGGAATTCAAATAGTCATGTACCAAAGAAACAGAAACATCTTCCAGAAATCCAAAAGGGAAATGTGGTCAGAACTCTGAGCATTTTTGTGTTTACCGAGTTTTGTCCCAAGGTTTATTAATGTTTACCTGGCACAAGGAAAGGTAGCCTCACAAGTAACAGAAAACAGACGTTTTCAGACTTGATAACCACTTACTAGGTATTTTGCCAAACAAGTTCACACATCTTAGAGAGTTGGATTGTGTGACCCAGTACCCCCCTTCTAGGGCAAGGTGCCCATCCGGTGGGTTGGGTGGAGGAGTTGGCCTCAGACCACTCCTGAGGTTCCATGAGGCTGCGGATTGGTGGCGTGAACCTGCTTAAAGTGAAGGCCCAACTCTAAAGTGGGAACTATGTAAACAGCTTTCTAGCACGTTTTCAGACACTCGCCACTGGAGCCTATGGAGAGGGCTAGCAGATCCCCCTGTAACCCCAGGGGCATCCCAAGGCCCGCCACCAAAGCTTTCTCAAGGCTGAATGCACGGGGAGCTCAGGCTGCTCTCCCCTTGGATTTGCCAAGAATTTCTGTTAGTGGCTCTCCACGCCTATTTGACTGTCTTTTTGCTGCTGTGTTGTTTTGCTGCATCTTTTTTTTTTTTTTTTGCAATGACACTGAGTGGCCTCCTGTATTGTTTCTTTCAGCCAGTAATGTTAAAGTAGAGACTCAGAGTGATGAAGAGAATGGGCGTGCCTGTGAAATGAATGGGGAAGAATGTGCGGAGGATTTACGAATGCTTGATGCCTCGGGAGAGAAAATGAATGGCTCCCACAGGGACCAAGGCAGCTCGGCTTTGTCAGGAGTTGGAGGCATTCGACTTCCTAACGGAAAACTAAAGTGTGATATCTGTGGGATCATTTGCATCGGGCCCAATGTGCTCATGGTTCACAAAAGAAGCCACACTGGTAAGGCCTGGCTCAGTTTTTCCTTTAGTGGCCTGAGAGGGTCCATGGGGTTTGAAGGAGGAAAGCATCCTGTCTTCCTTGAGTGTTCTGAGCATGTTTCAATTGACTGGTATCTCAGTTGTTGCAAGCAATTGGTGCCAAGTGGTCCTGAGTCAGAGTTCTTACCTGGTACAGCCTTGGAAAGAACTTCTCAACATGTACCAATTCCACGCTCTAAAAAAAACAAGGGAAAAGTGAACAGTATCACCTGAGAGGCCTGATGAGGGCCTGTTATATTAACACGTACTAAGTAGTCTCAGCTGAGCCCTCAGGGTACATGTGCAAAGTGATCACCCTCCACAAAACAAAACAAAAATCCTGATACACCAAAACTTACTCCTCAAAATTTCCACTGAGAAAAATGTGTGTTTTATTTGTATTCAGACTAACAGGGATTGATTTTTAGAAACAATACTGAATGATGGAATAGTAGAAAAATCAAGATTTCAGAAAGACTTCAGATGTGCTTTCAGATGGCTTGCCCTCCAACAGGGGAGACTTTGAATCAGATGCTTTTATGGCCACTGGTTATCAGCTCAAATTCCTGAAGAACTCCCAAATCCCCTGTCTTGCTGAAAGGTTTACTGGAGGTATAAGAGAATGTCATGTTCTGTGTCCAGAAAGGAAGGAACATGGGCACCCTAGTGTCAGCAAGGTGTGCCCAGGCTCGCAGGATGCCCCCTCACCAGGGGTGTGGGAAGTATGGCAAGCCCGTGCTGGCCGTGCTCTGACAGTCCACGTGTCTCTAATAGTCGGTCACGTTGATGGAGCTGTCACAGAACTGTCCAGTCACTGCCACTCATGAGGCTGAAGTCTTAGAAGTAAAATATGAATGGCACACACTTATTTAACTGCAGGCAGGAGGTTTCTTATGAATTGAACAGAAACGTTTCTTCACGTGGGAAGCTGTTCTAAAGTTGGGTAAAACACAATAGATCCACCACCTCTCGCAGTCACTGAAAGCTGGAAGATGAAACACAGAGACCCTGAGCCATCACTGCCTCTGAGCTGGCATCATCAGGTCATCATAAAGCTAGCGTCTGCCACTGCAAAAGAGGAAGACACTAGTTGAAAGTCCTGTTTTAAAGGCCTAGCAGATTCTGTTAAGATACTTCAGGAAAGTGATGGAGATGACTTGAAATCAGACCCTTGTGTGCTGCTTCCGTGGGACCAAACAAAAATATGTTTATCAAAAATTAAGCAGGAATTCAGAAAATTTCATGAGCCAGAAAGCCGTTTTATCAAGAAATGCAGATATCTGTGGGGTGGTAATTTTTACATTTGAATCAGGGCAGTTTCCAAAATGATTTATTCCATTTGTAGTATACCTGGAAACCTAAAAATAAGTTGATATCAATAGATACCCATCTTCAATAAAAATTCAACTTCTAGAATTAAGCAAACTTTGCTTTTTCGAATGGTCTCTAACCTCAAATCATCCAGTGAAATAGACACATCACACTCAGCCCTAAGTGAAGCAAGTGTGCAAGAGGGTGGTCCCAGCCTCACCTTTGTAATGAGGTGGAAATTAACGTGAAGATAGGCTCCCCTGTGACAGACACTTAACAGGGTACTCCAGGACCCATGGTAATCCATCCCTGATGAGGAATAGACCTCACAAATGAATTACTTTCCTGTTAATTCATGTAAAGCCTGACTGTACAGTGAAAATTTCTCTTAAATAAATATTTGATACGTGACTCAAATTCTGGCATACTAAATTGCCAAAATATAATGACTGCCTGCCTTGATAAAAAGAATAATTACATTTAATGAATAAGCCTGCCAAGTACAGATATGCCGGGTGGCACCTGCTGTTTGCTGCTCACTTCTCCCAACAAATAGTGGCTAGGTGCCACCTGCACACCAATAAACTGAGTTTTTCACTTACAGAACAAATAACTTTCAGAAGTCAATTTTATAGTTTCTGCCTTGCCCTTTATTAAAGAAATAAACGCACTTGAAGCAATGAACTCATGAATTATCTTCATCATGCATTTCCACTTGCCTAAATATAGAGGGTCCCAGGTAGATACAGAAATACTTGGTTTGACCAAACGTAGTTTGAATAACTAGACATGCTAGAAAGGTTTTCATTTTCCTGGGATCTGAGAGGAATATCTTAGAAAAGAAGTGGTTTCTCCATCCTTTATGCTTAAAATATTTCGAGAGCAATGCTTCTCAAACTTGAAAGAGCGTGTAAATCACTTGAGGTCTTGTGAACAATCAGCTCTGCTTCAGACTGGGGAGAGGCAGGAGAACAGGCATTCCTAACAGCCTCCCAAGGTGTGGAGCGCTGAGCCTCCTCAGGCAGCCCGGCAGTGCAGCTGAGCAGTGACACTAGCAGGGCCGTTCAGTGGGCTCTCCATCTGGGGCTTAGGTGTGACGTGAATCCCCACAGGACAGGCTGGGACTTGCACTGTGACCAGTGTTCCTCCTTTTGCCCATGGCTGAGTCAGCTTCCCAGTCCCTTCTGGGATACACTGAGGGGATTCAGGGGGCAGTCTTGCCTCGGCCCGTATCCCCATGTTGGTGAAGTACCTCTGGTGCCATTTTCTAATCAGCTCATCGACACCAGCACGTCACTTCCCCTGTTGTGCAGTTTCATATTTTTGACTCGGGTGTAATGGCCTTCCCCACCAGCATCTCAGGGCTAGTGTGAGAACCAGCGGGGAGAGAGGCAAGAAGGAAGCAGGAAGTGCAGAGTGCAAATACACTGCTTTATTATTCTAAATGAGGGGCTTTTCAGTAATAAAGACCAAGAAGAGAATCTGTGCCTACTTACTTCCCATCTGTAAGATAAAAAGGTGCAGTCCCCAAGCTTCCTAAACACAGCACTCTAGTGGCACTGCTCTTCCTAGGTATGGTTACAGTAGACCTACATCAGTTCTTGCAGTTCAAACATATTTTTTTCACTTTCTTCTGGTATGCCCTCAAATTCTATGATGTAGGCATCCATGAAGACTTCCGTTTTTACCCAGCGAAGTTATTAGAGGAGGCTCAAACATTCTTATAGAGGGTTCCTAAAATGGGAGATCTGTGGAGTCACTGGGATTCAAAAATAAATTTCAAATTCATGACATCAAAGTCCTCATCCCAATGAAATAAAAGTAAATAAAACCTTCAAGAAACTCGACCTACTCAGCTGCAATAGCTATTGACTTTCAGAAGACAAATGATGGCCCTCAGCCATACAAGAACACACAGGGCGTGGGCTGTTCTTGTGCCTCAGCTCCATGGACGCGTCTTCTTAGCTGCAGACCCCCCTAAAGAAAACTGCTCGAGTAGAGTGCTCTGTCTTGTCACTTTTGGGAATGCTCTCCTAAGACCCCATGCCTTGTGCTATGTGTTCCTGCCAGCATAGGCACTCCGAAGCAAAAAAGGTTTCCAGTGAAATTTGTTTGCAGGCACAGCAGGATCCAAGTGAAATCATGCCTGCCTGCCCTGCTCTGCTCTGCAGAAAGGCAGTGTGTCTGTGGCAATCTGCCCTTTCTGTCTGTGATGGACAGAGACGTTGGCTCTGCCTCCTGTTTTCCCTGAAGACCCCCAGATTTGGGGAGAGACACTGGACTCCAGCACCTTCCCAGCACGGGAGGAGGTCTTTCCCAGGTGTAAGTGCAGGGCTGGAGTCACAAACACTGTTGTGTCACCAGGATTTTGCCACATTCTTATTGCGAGCATTTCTGTGACGTGAGCTTTCTTCGGGGGGCCACCCTGTCCAAATGAGAGCTGTAGTTGGGGGCGTGTCCATCTCACATTGCCTGGGTCTTCCTGCACCAGCTCACTCTACTTCTCCTTTTATATCCACTTGGAGCTAAATGCACACATCTATGCTCAAGTGCAAGGAAAGCCCAGAAGTGCTCCTAATAGATCATTAAATGATGTCTCTCCAGTGGAAACACTCATGGGCTACCTGGCTGCTAGCTCTTGTAGTCTCTTCATCCAGTATTGATTTACGTGTACGGGTTTGTAACTCAGGGAGTATATTTAGTTCGTTACTTAGTTTCACCATCACCTTCCAACCTGCTTACATTTAACCTCCTCTCTGCTTAGCCAAGACCAATTTCTATAGGGATTTGCAGAAATACTAGATACCTCTGGGTTAATATCAGGACCCCTCCAATTGGCCTGTAATTGAATATCACTGTAAATTAGTTTCAGCTTTTATAGTAGTGCATCTAACCTGCCAGCTTAAAAAAAGTGATGATAATCATGAAATTCAAGTGTCAATATACACTTTTAAATTTAATCTGGTGTGGATGTTAATAGTGCCAGATATGCTTCTGTATGATCATTTTTGAGAAGTGCTGTCTTCTTTACCATAATCACATTAATCAGTCGGGGAAATGGTTCAATCGACATTTTAATACATTGTCTTTTCCTGAGAAAAAAGTGACTCCAGGAAATATGTTGATATGGTATCTCAACAGCAGGCATTGTGGTCACACAGCATTCTTCCTCTAAATAAAGCATTTGTTTTTCAAGAGTTTCATGTTTACTTAAACATGACAAATGTATCACTCTTCAAAGTGAGAGTTAAATGAAATGTTCCCTGATTTGGATTCTAAGACCTGTGACTACTCAGTAGGACAACAGCGTATTTCTTTTTCTCAGATACCTGTTTATTCCTTTGTCAGCTCCAGAATGGAGACACATGTGCTGTCACACAGAGCAGAGGGTCAGGAGTTTTCTTAGTCACAAATGCAACAGTATCACCCCTGAAAGAATTCCTTCATAACAACTAAATTGTGTCTCTTAGAATACCTCTACTTATAATTTGTCTTCTATGGAGATAGAGAAATAATAGCTTAAATGTTTTAGGATTTGTAAAGAAAGAAAAAGCCAGAAATCTCAATGCAACTCTGACTTGTATTCCCTGACATAGGGAGGTTTGGGACTTTTCTTTGGAAGACGGGGGGCTTCCTTCACAGTTTCTTAACTTCTCATTTTATTCAATCTTTCTCCATCTCTCTCTCTCTTTCTCTCATCCTCACGCTCTCTGTCTGTCTCTCTCCTGATTTGCCTGCTTAGGGACAGACAGGTAATGGAGAAGAAATTGAAAGGGAAAATACAGGGAAAATGTAAATGAAAAGAAGTTATTATAACTGTTATAATGAAGTGCCTTTCATTTAAATATAAGAATGTAACGCTGAAATGAACTTGTGATCCTGAAATGCATTTTTAATGAGTTTCCTTTTTATTTTGCTGCTTCAGTGGCATATTTTAAAGACCCTTTGAAAAAAGCCACATTAAAAACCCCACCAAATGCCACAACACGCAAAATTGGATATTGGTTTATTCCAAAACTGCTGATCAGGAAGAGTGGCTCTTCATCACAAAATGTTGCAGTCACTTTATTTAAATGAGTTTGAATTTGCATTGTGATGTGCCATTCTGATTTAGGGAAAAAAAATTAGATTTTCAGATCAAATTGACCCAGCCAGTGAAGCGTTAAGGAGCTGGCAGGTTTAGTCTGAAAGCCTCATGTTCTATCAAACCTGCAGCCGGTGGAAGTCACCAAGCCCCCGTGGGAAACAACTTTCCCATAGCGTTGTCCTCGTGTCCCCACGCTGAGTTTAGTTCTCACCAGCTCTCCTCTCTCCGTCCCAGGAGAACGGCCCTTCCAGTGCAATCAGTGTGGGGCCTCCTTCACCCAGAAGGGCAACCTGCTGCGGCACATCAAGCTGCATTCCGGGGAGAAGCCCTTCAAATGCCACCTCTGCAACTACGCCTGCCGCCGGAGGGACGCCCTCACTGGCCACTTGAGGACACACTCTGGTAGGTCCCCTGGATGCAGTCCGGGGCTGTCTGGGTGTCTGGGGCTCCTCTGCTCTGCCCTCGAGGGTCCCAGATTGCATCCTGGCTGGCTAACCCTGAGGCCCTCCCAGCTTGCAGACCTGCATCAGGTGTGGGCTGACGCTTCCTTGACATTGCCCCCCCGCCATATTCTACTTTCCCCATCGCACCAGGGGGATTGGGCGCTGGGACCCCCATGTACAAACACGCACACACACACACGCACACGCGCGCACACACACACACACGCGCGCACACACACACGCACACACACACACGCGCGTGCGCACACACACACACGTGCGCGCGCACACACACACGTCTCACCTTAGGTAGCGTCACACGCGCACGCACACACACACGTCTCACCTTAGGTAGCGTCACACGCGCACACACACACACGCACACACACACATGCGCGCACACACACACACACGTCTCACCTTAGGTAGCGTGTTTCAGACACACACACACGCGCACACACACACACACGCGCACACGCACACACACACGCGCGCACACACACACACGCACACACACGTCTCACCTTAGGTAGCGTCACACGCGCACACACACACACGCACACACACGCACACACACACACGCACACACACACGCGCGCACACACACACACGTCTCACCTTAGGTAGCGTGTTTCAGACACACACACACGCACACACACAGGCGCACACACACGCGCGCACACACACACACACGCACACACACACGCACACACACGTCCCACCTTAGGTAGCGTCACACGCGCACACACACACACGCACACACACACGCGCACACACACACGCGCGCGCGCACACACACGCACACACACGCGCGTGCGCACACACACACACGCACACACACGTCTCACCTTAGGTAGCATCACACACGCACACACACACACGCGCACACACACACACGCACACGCACGCACACACACACACACACGTCTCACCTTAGGTAGCGTGTTTCACAACAGGCCTCCTCCTCCCATATGCCAGGCTAGTGGGGTTTCCATGAAGAATTGTGCAGGAAATGTTTTCACCACAGGTACTGCTAAGAGCAAAACGTTTCCAAGTACAATTTGTTATGTTAGTTAAGTCGCACTTCGGAGTGTTTTACACAGGTATAATGGGATAGCTATTTTGCAGAACCGGTAGACAAGGGTGATTTAGGGCACACCCACGCAGACTGAGCCCAGTGTAGCTCTGACACCAAAAAACAGCCAAGGCCACAGTTGCAGAGGCCAGTCTGGGGCTGTTACCAGATTTTAGACAGCAGCCTTTCTCTTTGAATTAGGCAGATAAAGTACAACCCAAATAATCGGGAGTCTTGGCGAGATCATCAGAGGCATAAATGCTCCATCATTCTCAAAACACTCCTGTCCTGTGAAGCCCAAATCCACTAAAGTTTGGTTAGATCCCCTTCCTCTGCCTCCTGAGAAATAGTCCGGGTGTTTCATTATCCAGCAGCCCCATAATTCCACAGAGCAGAGGAAAAGCGGGCTCTTGGCTAGTCTGTCACAGATCATGTTTGCCCGAGTGTGGTCTACACAACATGACGCCCACAGGTCTCCTTCATACGGTCCAGTTGCGGATATTTGCTGTAGTACACTGCATGGGGCTTGTGGGTGGGATGTTGATGGCCTTTGTCCTTCCCCTTGAAGAGCCTCCTGCCCCAGCCAGCCACCAGCCAGGGCGCTTCTCCAAGCAGTAGTCTCTCTAAGCAGGTGCCCTGGGGAATGGCGATGCTTCAGACCAGCTGCTCCTCACCCTCCCTGGATGGCAGGATAAGGAGGAGCCTCCCTCAGGGAGGCAGGGACATGTGCTCTTTGTGAAGGGTCTGCAGCAGCCCAGGCCATCTCTTCCCAAATGTGACATGTGGATTTGATGGTTGGGGGTTTTAGAGGCTGCTCATTACGTCCATCTCTTTATCACACATTTACTGAGCACTCTGGGGTGACCATTCTGCACGGGAGACCTCAGGTGCACATAAGGAAAGCACCAATGTGTTATAGGAGGCATGACATTGAATCCGAGGGGACGGAGGGAGCATAAGGAATGGGACAGTGGGTCCTGCGGTGAAAAGTCAGGAAAGACTTCCCATAGAAGGGAGGGACTTCTGAAGTACATGCTGGAAGGCGAGCATCTGAAGTTTGCTTTAGAGAAGTTCTAAACCAATGTGTGAGTTAGCAGTAATCCCAGAAAGGAGTGTGGCCCCCATATTGGCAAGAATTCAGTCTCTCTCCTGGCGGGTGGTCCCTGCAGTAGTCCACCCAGTTGACTGCAGACAAAAAGGAGAGGAGTCGCAGGGACCAGTGCACTTCCTCCTCTCCATAGTGACCTCCTTCCTGGTGGTGCACATGGAGAAGGATCCCCACATGCTCTCGATCAGAAAATTGTGAGGATTTGGGTGATATGACTTCCTAAAAACTTCCAAGAAAGTGGCTATACCATGAGGAGTTGCTTCTCCCAGAGGGCAGGTGGGTCAGCAGGGGAGTTATGAAGTGGGACAGTTGCCTTCTTACAGGGGGCAGGGAGAACAGGTGGCTCCCCTGAGATGGGAAGACAGTAGCATGACAGTGAGCATCTTTAGATGTTCACCTAGGCGATGAGCATGGATGGTGGTTCCACCTGGAGCCAAAAGTGGTGCCTGGGGTTGACGAGCAATGGGCCTCAGCTGAGAGGACTGTGCAGTCTCTGTGCCGTGCTAACACGTGATCTAGGAAGAAGCCTCACAGCTGTCGTTTCTAAGGGGTCATGGAGACAGACAGAATTGGCAGCAATATTATCTTAGGTTAGTGGGAAGCTACACTTCCCGTGTCAGTGGAAAACACAAACATTTTTAGGTTGACACCAACGCTAGGTCATCAACATTCCCAGATTACTCTGATTGCAGTGGAATCTCTCATCTACATCAGTCCTTAAAAGGAGAGCTGCTCTCTTTCCTTTCCTGTGTGGAGTTAGGAATATCTAGTGGAGTGTTTTATCTTATTCTGGCTCCAGGCCTGTATGTTTCATTTCAGGCATGATGGTATCCTACTCTAAACACCGCAGATGACTTGAGTAATTATAGAACGTGGCAAACTCTGGACCGTGTATTTCTGTTCTGGTTTCACGGATGAGCAAGTGGAGAAAACCATCATGGGAGCGGGGCTGCTGGGGATCTGTCTGACCAAAAATGCTGTGGAGACACACACTGCTCTTGGGGAAAGAAGCAGTGATGATTGCTTCAAAATGATTTCACTGAAGTAAAATAAGGACTTCGGCCTTCGTCTGGCAAATTCAAATGTGGTCACACTCTACTCCATTGTGAAATGACCATTTCCCCGTCCCATTAAAAACCAAGATCAATATCACAGCTTTCCCTAGCAGCTGGTGGTGGCCTGAGGTCTTGTGGACCAGCATGTTAACAGAAATAGAGAATTCGTCTCATGCTGACAGCAGGAGGGGGCTGGGGGATTTGGAGGGTAGAGAAGAGAGCTCCCTTCCCACCTCATGGCTTCCTTTGAAAGTTACAAGCTTAGAACTTCCTTCCTACAGAATATTGGGCTATGCTTCAAGATACTCTTGATCTCAGTTGCTTATAGTGAACATGCGTCTTATGTTACAGAGTTAAAATCAATTTTTTTTTTTTTTTTCAGAAAAATGGATATTCAGACACCATAGCATATATACCAGAAACAATTTGATCATGAAATTTACTGAAGTCACAGCTTTTTCAGGAAAGGACACTGAGTGGTTATCTATAGCCTATTAATTTCTAAAAGCAATACTCAATCAAATGTGCAATGTTTAGGCAATATTCTATATTGCAACATTATTTCTTGATGTTGGGGTACATCACTTTATATAAATAGAGATCCTTTTCATGCTCTATTAAATGGTCCAGAAGTCAAATTTTTGCTTCCATGTTGATCTTCTTACTGTGGCTTCTGTTCACCTAGGAAAGAGATTTAACCTGTATAAGCTTTGGCCAAACCACTTTACCAAACATTCCTATTTGGATGGTCTTAATTTTTATACAATACTTTGAAATATGTTCAATGAAACATGAGAAAGAAGTAGAAGATTCTGCTGTTAAGCTGGAAATTTATATTCCTTATAGAAGTGATTAAAGATACTTTATTCAGTTTATCTCTTAAGATGGTATCTACTGAAGTCCTTAAACTCGGGCATGATATGAATTCCTGGCTAGTCTTTCTTTTCCCTAAAATATAACTCAGTGAAATCCGGGAGGGACCAAAACTCATTATATAGAACTGCACTGCCCCATCCAGTACCTGCTACCTACATGTAGGATTTTTAATAAGTTTAAAATTAAACAAAATTAACCTTTCAGTCCCCAGTGGCACTAGCCACACTTTTTATGTCCAATAGCTCCATGTGGCTGGTGGCTACCATGTTGGACAGCACCAATGGAGAGCATTTCTATCATCAGTGTAAGTTCTGTTGGACAAGGCTAATCTGGAAGCTACACCATCCTAAAGCTCTTTGGCAAGAAAGCAGAGCTTTTCCATAAGCTCTGTTCATGAAAAATACATTTTGTGTTATCTATGTATATGTATATGAAAATATTACATCTACGCATACATGGGAAATACAAAATATTTTGTATTATAATGTAAGATACATTCATATTATGTAAGAAAGTATATTTTAAAAATAAAATGCTCATTTCATTCAGGCGTTTTTGTCCAGCATGGTTTCTTAGAGACCTCAAGTTATCCATTGTAGCACCTGGAACTGAATTCACTCTGGCTGCATTCAGCGTAGGCCCAGCATCATGGCAGATCCGGACCATGGCATAGACTGAAGTTACTCTGCAGACAATGTAGCCAACACACAGGCCTTCCTCACATCTGTGTCCAGCCACCGGCATCCACATTACAGCACAGCAGTGGCTCGTTTCTGCCAGTTAAAGGATAGGATTCAGTGACTGAGGAGGAGAGAATTTGGTAGTCAGTAAAGCAGACAAATTAAGACAGAACAAGAGTCTCATGAGTTCTTGGTACAATGAAAGAAACCTTGTGCACTAACATTTTTAAATTCAGTAATTTTGACCAAGTCCATAACACTTTTAGCTCTCAAGGGTAGAATTTTTTTTTAACTTTTTTTGGTAATAATTGTATTGCATGCATTCCCCTTACACGTAAGGCTGACATTTAATTGGGGTCTTGAACTCAATTGTGTTTTCTGCAGTTGGTAAACCTCACAAATGTGGATATTGTGGCCGAAGCTATAAACAGCGAAGCTCTTTAGAGGAACATAAAGAGCGCTGCCACAACTACTTGGAAAGCATGGGCCTTCCGGGCACACTGTACCCAGGTAAGCGCTGCTGCTTGGAGGCCAGCCTGGTCGGCTCTCCCCCCAGCACGGCGGGGAAGGAGGGCGCTCTGCAAGCAGCCTCAGGAGCAGAGCCACGGGCCTGCTTCCCGCCTGGGCTGGGAGGGAGGGCAGTTTTTGGCCAATAACATCACAGTTTCACCAGAAGCACACTGTGCTTCCCAGCTTTCTAGGTTCTCATCTGACCAGAGAGAGCTTGATTTTAAAACCCTTCCCGTTTCCAATCAGGAGAAATGAGGATAGCAGTGACCTTAAAAGTTTTGGGGTTGTTTCTTGGATGTTGGTGGTTTTAAAACAACAACAAAAAAAAACACCTCAAGTAGTGATCATTTCTTTGTAAACAGAATAAAATGCAAAATCTTGTTTTAAAACATTTTTTTTAAAAAGTTGATCAAATAAGAACTTCGAGGCTGTGATTTTAAGTGTCAGTTCAGACCGAGGGCATGGTATCCACGCCTGCCTGGAGTGTGAGGCTGAAGTTTGTTGGAAGCCCCCTGTAGTTGATAGTATTGAGGCTGTCAGAGGATGAGAGGGAAAGCGACTTCTTTTGTAGGAGCTGTGATGCTCTGAAGTGTGTTGCATAAGGAGATGGCACTGGGTTCCGACCCCAGAGGCTGTAGAGTAATTGATGTGGAGATCACTAAGGAAGGCTGGATTCACCCGGGGGAATGGCAATGTTATAAAAGGTTCCTTCCTAATTATTTAAGAGATAAGCAATTTATAAAGAGATCAAATAAAGTTAATCTCTTTCAAAACAGTATTCATCTAGCACTGCCCCTGGAAAAATCATCACTAGACTGTGAGGTCGAAATTCAACCAATGGTGGAGAATTTATTAAGCCTTATTCACCTTTCTGACTTTAACAAATGGTTCTAAAGGGAAAATTCACCAGAGTACCCTCAGATTATTAATGGCAGCTGAGAGCAGGAAGAAACAATGTTGAGAATGGCTAAAAATGGATTCTGGTTAGTCTCGGCATGGAGAGGCAGCATCTCATCTGGCCAGAGCTCTGCACCCAGATGCTGTCTCCTCTGCCAGTCAGCCAGGGACCTGGGGCTCACAGGAGATTCCTCTGGGCCTCAATTTTCTCACCGGTGAAATGGGAAGATACCATTAAATTATCATTTGGCTTCTTTCAAAATCTCAGGCCTGGAATGGAAAGGTATTGAGGGTGAGTGGAAGAGAAGAAAGTGGATATTAAAATAATAGTAATAGTAATTTAACAGTTATTTATGCACATGGCAAGACTGCATGACAGAAGACTAATGGATGAGGAGATGATTATGTTCCTTTGAAATAAAATGTCAACACTCAAATACCATTTTCTCTGTAAAAAATAAATGAATGGGTCTTGGAAGTAAGTGCTCCTAATGATGTAGTTTACATATTAATGCTTAATAAGCCATTTTATTTACTCAACGAATATTTACTGAGGACTTCTAATTGATAATAGCAAGCCCTGTTGAATACAGTAATCTGATATGCACATAGAATTGAAAAGACAAAGTGAACAAAAGAAACAGTATATTGTTTCTGTCTGTCTCCTCCACTGCATTCATTACTAGAGAAACAAGCTGCAGTGCGCAGCCAGCTGCGAGGGGCTGCTCTCAGAGCAGGAGAGGCAGCACTCATTTCACTGGGACCTGGGTTTGGGTTTTCTGTTTTTGAATGTGACTCAGAGCTCGTCACTTAAATGTGAGTGATAATTCATGCCTAGCCATCCTCATAGTAACGCTCTGAGAGAAACGTGAGGGAGTAGATCCGGGTGTGAGCAGGAGCGTAGACATGTGTCAGGTACTTACCTAAACATGGACGTTTCGGCCACTGACATACTGACATCTTCAAGCTAATCCTTCTCTGTTGGTCTCTTTGTCAGTAAGATTATGTCCCAGTATGTGTATTAAATATTACTCTGTGATGAGTGTCAATTTCACCCTAAGATGTTAATTTATTCACTTTGATTGTTAAGTTACTTGGACTACCACAGTGATGCCTCTACGTCCCCACACTCAGGAAGCATGAAAGCTTCTCTAGGAAGGAGCAGTGATCTGGTTTCAGTGTGGCAGCAGACAGAGCCAGGCCCGCACTTAATTACATTGAATTGTTTCTGTCTGGTGTGGCATCAAAAGGTGCAAAATGATTATACACCTTTTGACAGTCATCTTTGGTTTTTGCCTTTGCCAACACCTAACCCTGGTAGTTCCTGCTGGTTTAAGGAACTTGGAGCATTGAGGGGATCCATAAAAGGACTTTGACGGAAATCCTCCCGAACTACGCTTGGGGCTAGGAAGACAAGCAGGGGCTTGGTCATTCCAGCTGTGCTGAGCCTGGCTGGGTGGAACCTGTGCCTTCTGATGCATCTCTCCTCCTCTGTTCCCCTCTGAGAACCCCTCATCTCTGCTCAGATGGATGGGCGAGTAGTCTCTTTCCCCACCCCTAAAGCCCCATTAGATTGGGTGGTTTCAGTAAAATCAAAGCCTCTGCTAGTGATGTAGAAAAAGATGAATTTTTCTGAATATAATTTTCTTTAGTAAAAAGCTTTTGGGTCACCTGTTATAATTTCTCAATGTCTTTATAGAAAAAAATAAGTTTCTCTTGAGCCTCTGGTGCACAGAGTCACCGGCCTTTGGAGATGCATGTGTCTAAGGACAGGGTAGCCCATGACTCGGGAGCATCAGGCTCACTTGTTCCTTTCTGTAATCGACTCTGGGGGTGGAGGCTTTTGGGAAGCCCTGTGCCATGGTGCAGAGGAAGACCCCTGATTGCTGGGAGCCCTGGGCAGGCTGTGTGCGCGGCTTTGCAGAGAAGGATGGACATGTCAGAAAGCACATTAGCTTAATAGATGAAGTGTGTGACCAGTGGAATTGGATTTTATGGATTTATGTTTATCTTGCATATAAATCAGGATGTGAGCTATATATGTTTGCCATTTAATAAAACACACATATTTCAAATGTTAAAAAATATACCAGCTACAATAGCTGATTTGAAGTATGTGTTTTCAAAGTCACATTTGTAATAGCAATGAAAACATAAAATACTTAGAAATGAAGAAAATCAGCAAACCATACTGAGGCAAGAAAGAAAATGTGGGAGGTTGGAGAGGTGGAGCGGGCTGGATGCTGTCCATGGGCCCCTGCCCAAATTACAGCATCACTTCAACATAAAACTGGCCTGTATATCTTACCGGAATCTGGTAATCATGTATCCTAAAGTATCTGGATATATACATGAGATAATTGGCAAAGTTCTAAGTGAAGAGTAATGTCAAGTGATGTATGAAAATGTGGCTAAAAATGGATGGAACTCTTTGAAGAATAGGCAGACAAATCAGTAATAGAGATGGATAAACCTACCGAAGACCCCGTGATAAATCAGCGTGAAATACCTGAGGCAGGAGGAAGCATAAGGCAGGAACAGTATAGGAAGAATTGATCAGGCATTTAAGGTAGTCAGTTTACATTATCAGCTCCTTACACACGGGGATAAATTGCAGGTAAATGAGTTATATTTTTAGAACTCCAACTGCAATAACTAGATGTAAAGATAGATGCTGCTACACAGGATACAAAGTTGTACCTTCAATTATGCAAAGAGATGACATAGAACAATTGAGAATGACTAGAAATGGGCCACACATCAACATTCACCTCCGTGATTTCTGAATTCTCTACAATAGTCAGGGGGGCTTTGGGTTTCAGGAGTTTGCCGTGTGTTCAGAGATAAGGGGTTCTGGTTTTTTCTCCACATTGCCCAGATCTGTTGCGGGACTTTGGGGGCCACTTTTTTGTATCTCAGTTCATTGTGCTGGTCCGTGAAGTCAGACGTTAGGTCAGACAGTTCTTTGCATCTCACGGGGCTACTGTTAGGACTGAGTGAGTAGTGGAGTATTTTGAAAGTTAAAAGGACTTGTCCAAGGGACATCGTTGCTTAATCCAGTCCAGCCCCTGGCGATGGTGGTGGTGCCTGTGCATTTGGACATAAAGGGGACAATGTGTGGTGAGCAGCTGTCGGAGGAAGAAGCCTTTGCAGGTGGCTGGTCGTTGGCATTGCTGGGGCTGCCTCTGCCTGTCTGGCAGTGTTGCTGGGAAGATTAGAATTAATCTCTAGGAAGGGCCTGGCTCTTGTAGGCACTTAACAGATGTCAGATTTCACATTGGACGTGACTGAACCCTTTAAACATAAGGCATTTCTAAACTGGCCTCTTTAACTGTCTTTGACTTTAGTCATTAAAGAAGAAACTAATCACAGTGAGATGGCAGAAGACCTGTGCAAGATAGGATCAGAGAGATCCCTCGTGCTGGACAGACTAGCAAGTAACGTCGCCAAGCGTAAGAGCTCTATGCCTCAGAAATTTCTTGGTAAGAGTTAAATGTTTGCTGTCTCTTTAAAAACAACTATGTGGGTGTTTTAGGTGCAAGTGGAAATGAGTTGAGCGTACAAGAAAGGGAAAAAAATGAGATATTTTTCAAAAGCAAAAATTGGTAAGCTATATCATTCCTTAAATATCTTAGAATTGTTTCCAGTAAGTGGCTTAGAAATAACAAATCTCCTGCCAGTTTTTCCTAGATGTGATTGTGTAGTGTCTGCGGCCTGCACTGTGATCTGCCTGTGGGCATCGCCCCTAAGGGGACGTTGGGCCACCGTGCACGGGGTGGAGAGTGTGGGCCTGGCTCAGCTGGGGACATTACACTGCAGGACACTCCAGGCCTAGCTGGCTTCTCTGAGCTTCAAATCCTCATTTTTCACATGAAGCTCTTAACGTTCCCCTTATGGGGACTCTGAAAGGTTCATGGGAGGAATTGTACAGTGACTGACCCCTGAGAAGTGTCTGCTGAAGACTGGGTTTAGCTAGGATTGCTGTTTTGCTTAATGCTTTGAGAGATAAAAAGGAAGAACAAGACCATGCTTCTCTCTAGGAGCATTGCCCAGAGCAGGTGATAGGCACACCAACACCACCATCCAGCCAGACGCCTCAGGGTCGGAGCCAGGGTCCGATGGAAAGGCGCGAGGTTTGGGGACTGGTGCAGAGTCAGTACAGAGCCACTGACACTCGCCAGCTCTGCTGCCTTGGTTCCATGCTTTAGCATGTCACGGGGTGATTGTGAACATCCCATGACTGCCAGGATGTGAGAACATTTGGAAACCCTCAGCGTGAAGGTTAACTCTGTCCAGGAAAGAGGACCAGTAAGCGCTTCATGAAGCTGAGATGAACCTTGGAAGAGGGATAGGGTTTCTGCACATTCTAGGTGTTGGAAGAATGGGGCAATCTAGGCAGATGGATAAAATCAGTGAGAAACCGGAATGCTGACCACGAGGGCTGGAGTGAGGGCCTGAGGACATGACGGAGGAGCAGGGAGTGTTCCCAGCTTAACTCAGGTCCCCATGGGGAGGCAGGAAAAGTGAAGCTGTCCCAGGCAGCTCTACTACAGTACGAATGGCTTCCGACACCAGGTAAGAGAGAGACCCTTCATTCAGTCAGCAGGAAAGAAGCACTGGTATATTTTTGATGAGCGCAATGGCTAGGACAGTAAAGACAGCAAGTACCAAAAATGACCGGAAAAGGGGAGGCGGCTGCAGCGGGCTTGGAAAGAGAGGCTTGTGAAGGGGAAGGGTTGGTGTCCGGAGGAACATAGCAGTGAGGGGAGGGATTGGGTGAAGGAAACCGGGAGTCACACACACTCAAGTAAAGTAGTGTGCTCTTGATGGAAAGGATAGCACCAGGTTCTGGGAAAAGACGGGGTTCTGATTTTGACGTGTTGATTTTCAAGGACCTCTGGTACCTGTGACACATGGGGAAGTTGTGGTGGGAGAGAGGTGGGGCCAGAACAGGGGCTAGTGAGGCCAGGGGTCCCAGAGGGCACCTGTTGACCTGCAGGATGGCAGGAAGGGGGAAGGACAGAGGCAAGGCCACGTACTGGGCACCAGCCTCAGTTTCAAACAGGGCTCCTTTTTGACCTTTGGATTAAATAGTGGTTTGTCACAGGTTGGGGATCAAGAGGAGCAAGAGAGAGAAGGATTCAGTTTACAAAAGGAATGAAAGCCACTGGCTGAGGCAGTGAGGAGGTGTCCACATAGGCCTGAGCCTTTGGATCATGAAAACGAGGGAGATCCCACCTTCCTGAACAGAGCAGGAGTGACATCCTGTGCTGAGCATAAGCGGTGGGATTCCAACAGCAGTGGGCACAGGGCCCACAGGCTGCCCCCTGGGCAGCCAGCATCTACAGCACACTCAAGTAAAGTAGTGTGCTCTTGATGGAAAGGATAGCACCAGCATCTATGTGGAGGCCACCTGGGATGGACATAGTGACAGAGAGATGGGTGTTGACTGGGAGATGGGCAGAGATAAGGCAGTGAGTGTGTGCAAGGGGAATGAAGGGTTGCTGACCTGAGAAGCAGGGACGGCATCCTCTGTCAAGTGAGGAGCCTGCAGAATGCTTTGGTGAATGAACATTCACAGCCCCTTTTAGCTTTGGAGACTTGAAAACAAATGAGAAATTCATCTGTGAAACTACTGGAGCCACTCCCCAGCCCCGCCGCTGTGAGACCACAATGTGGGCGTTGGCTTGGCATGCTTCCATGTTGGTAGACGAACTAAGCAACACAGTGCTCTGACGGGGCAAAGCGAAGAGGAAAGAGTCCCAAGGGGACACAGTGGGCACAGTGGGCAAGGGTAGCAGAAGAGAAGTTAGGAGCACAAGACTCACAAGCAGCTGCATGATCTGTGGGTGATTGGCATTTCATTTGTAAAATAATGCCTCTTCCTGCCCTAAAATGCCTACCTTATCCCCACTTCAGCTTGATGAGATTTCCATCAGTCATTCCTAATGTGTCACAGCTTCTGCAGCCCTAAAATGAAAAGGCCAGTGAGTCTCTAAGGCCTTGCCCCACTTCTCAGGTGCCGAATTTAACCTTCATGTGAACTTGGAAAGAGAGTAGGAATGCAGCTGTTCTCATACAAGCTGGCCCAGTAGTGCTTCAGTTGAGAGCTCCATGCTTCAGAGTCAGCTCCAGGTAGGAGTGACTGGTGGTGGCCTTGAGCATGGTGCTGGGCTCAGTGTTGCCATCTGTGGAATGGGTGTGGACCTATTGCCCTGCCTCCTCCCAGAGCTATTCTGAGGCTCAGAAGGGGTGATGGATGTGATGGTGCTGTCGACACTAGAAAGCATCTTAAGAATGTAAGATGAGAGGATTTTCATGTTGACCGTTGCTCAGTGGCATATAGTTGTGCTTTATTCATCTATAACCTATGGTTAAAATTTTTACCTGAAACTTGGACATGAGTATGAGTTGTTGTTTTGCCAGCAACATTCCTCACCATCGGGGCCATTAAAGATCTCCTCCTCTGAGATCATCACATACAGGAGAGCAGGACTGATTCATCTAATTAGAAAAGGGATTATATTAAATAGTAATACTTGTTGTTTTTAGACTGGTGCGTGAGGTAGGAACATTTCTGTCTTAGAGAAAAGCACAAAGAGGAAAACAACAATTACCAATATTCCTGCTACCCATTATCATTTCTTTGGTATATTTTCTTCTTTTATAAGAAAAAGAAACCCTGTTATATTATTAAAGTAACACAAAGTTAATATAAGGAATTTTAATGCAAAGATAAATGTTTTCAAATCACCACAAATCTCAACACCCAGAAATTACCAGTATTAAAAACATGGAAGCATCCAAATATCTTCCTATGCATATGTATGTGAGTGGATAGGCCGATGAATAGTTAGATTGATGGATAGGTAAATAGGAAATAAATATCTTCATAAAGATTCTGACATTTTATACATGCTTTAAATTCAGGAGGTGAAAAAAGACCCAAACAAAACTGGAGAACTGGCTTATCTTAAATATTCTCTCACATAAAGGAATATTATTTTTATTATTTTTTTTTTTTTGAGAGGGAGTTTCACGCTTTTTACCCAGGCTGGAGTGCAATGGCGCGATCTCGGCTCACCGCAACCTCCACCTCCTGGGTTCAGGCAATTCTCCTGCCTCAGCCTCCTGAGTAGCTGGGATTACAGGCACGCGCCACCGTGCCCAGCTAATTTTTTGTATTTTTAGTACAGACGGGGTTTCACCATGTTGACCAGGATGGTCTCAATCTCTTGACCTCGTGATCCACCCGCCTCGGCCTCCCAAAGTGCTGGGATTACAGGCTTGAGCCACCGCGCCCGGCCAGGAATATTATTTTTAAAGGCTCCTCTAAGATTAAAAATATGTCTTATGTATTAAAAACATTACGAAATTTGAATTATTTTTTAAATCCAGTTGTTTCACTTTAAACAGTATCTACTGGTTCACTGCTTTGAAAAATAAGGACACCTCAGCATTCCAGTGTTCACAGTATCTTACTATTTTCACATTGTTCAGCTTTGTAATATTCACATTCTGTTCTGTAATCATAATTCATAGCAGTTTATTTATTACTAACTCTATTTAAATAGATTCGAGGATCAGACCCTGCCCTTTTATCCCTATTTCTGTTTATTTTGATTAATCTCTTAACTGATTGGACTTTACATTCAAGCAACTTTTTCCAGAAAGTTTCTGTAGGTGTTCTGTGGCTGTGTTGTGTTTGAGGATGGTGGCCTATTGCCTTTGTTTTTGACGAGCATTTTGACAGAGCCTAGGGTCTTGGGTCACTGTTTTGTTTTGTTTTGTTTTCTCCCTTGAGAACTCTAGATTTTGCTGATGGCATTGCTTGTTGAATGTTGCTATGGAGACATCAAAGTCTAGTGTAACTGTTTCTTCTTTAAGGTGATTTGCATTTTATTCCTGAATGCCTGAGGGTTCTTTCTTTAACCTTGAAGTTAAATACCCTAATTAGGATGTATCTTGGTCTATTCATTCTGAATAAAAATTTCCTACCATTTCATCTAGAGAGTCCCTTTTTTCTCTATTTCTGGGAAATTCTCTTTTATATAAATATGTTTTGTTCCATCTATTGTGATCTCTGTTGAGGGATACCAGTTGTCTGTATGTTAATTTGTCTTCCATATCCGTTAACAGTTCTTTAAGTTATTTGTTTATTTCTTTGTCTATTTTTACATTACTCACTGTTCTCTTGTGGTTTTCCTCTGTCAGTAATTTAATTTTTAGTAGTTCCTGTTCTATTACTTGCTATTTTTAATCCATGCATTAATTCTGTAATAATATTATTTTTCTCCTTATTTTGTTTTCTGAAATCTGAAATCTCTTTCTTTCTCTTATTCTGTTGCTTTTGCATTTTATTTTGCATATTTTTTAAATTGGTTCCATGTTGTGAAGCAATTATGAGGCATTTCCTCTCTTCTTGGAATTAAGGACTTTTTCCCCTAGGATGTTCTCAATGGTCTGTGTTTTACTTCCTTTCTTCCCTGTATTACTAGAAAATATTTTCATAGTAACCATGGCATTTCTTTTCATCTTGCTTGTTCTACTTGGTCTGATACAGTTTGATTGACGTTTCAACCTTCTTCCCACTCTATTTTTTTTTTCTTGTGAGAGCTATTGAGTTTTCTAACTCCTGAACGAATGCCAAAGATGGGGTTGGAGGAGTTTGGTGAGGAAAACTGCAGCCTTTGTTAAAATACTTTTCCTTTGCCTTCGCTCCCTCATCTGAAATTTAGCTAAATGCCCTAAGCCATCAGCAGTGAACCAAGTTGGGGAATGCTTCATCCCCACAGGAGATACTCTGGGGCTTTGGGCCATCTGCCCCTTCACTGTAGACCACGGAGGACTTTGCTTCTGTCCCAGGGAGCCCCCAGGGGCTTACTTCTCCATGGTCATCTGATTCTTGCCAGCCAAGGTTTCAACTGCTGTTTTGATCAGAACAGGAAACAGATACCTATTTGAATCACGTCTGTATAAATATGAGGCTATGAGGGAAAATGCTGAGGTTATTGTTGACTTGCACCTAAAGATTTGGAAATGAGATTAGCAGCCAAGCTTTGCCCTACATCTCATGCCAGAATTCTCTGTTTCTTTCCAGTCTTTGGTGTGTGTGTGTGTGTGTGTGTGTGTGTGTACTCATACACACCATAATGAAATATGTATTATATATGTAGTTGTATATATATAATATTTGATTTCTATACGTGACATGTTCTTTCAGCTGATTGCTGTTGGTGAAATTTATAGGTTTTTATTTTTCTTGTTTTGTTGGATAGTAGGGAAGAGAAATTCAATGGCTAATTTCCAAGTGCCACAGTAATCTGGCATATGTGTTGATTTTTTTCGTACACCCATTTGTTGTGATACCAGGTTTTGAAAACAACAGATTTCAGTGGTTGCTTGGGAAACCACTGAACCATGACTTGGGGAGAGACAGGATGATTAGGTGGGAAAGCATCTTTCCAGTGGGGCTGGAAAGACTTTTATGTTTAGCAAAATTGGCTACAAAGTCCATTCTCCTCCTTTTCTTGCCTTGATTAGGTAGAGGGATAGACTTGGATACAAACTAGAATGGATTGTCCTGCTCTGTCGTAAAAGTAACAGGACATTTAGTTGCTCAACACAAAAAAAACGTGTGTGGTTTCAGCAACGTTATACGTTACTTTTTCTGACCTTTAAGGGAGAGAAACACCACTTCTTTGGTCCCTACCATTGGCTTCATAGAGTTTTCATCCTGTTCTGTTTCTGGGAGGGTATAATTGGCCATGCACAAGTTTTCTTTCTGTAATCAGAGTATGTGCCACTTCTGACCACCAGTATATGAAAACAGACAGAAACCAAGCTATTATGTGTTACATACCCATTACAAAAGAAGACATGAAACTCAAAGGTACTTTATAGTATAATGGGGCATATATTCCTGGAAGATTCTTAATGGTCACAGATTTTATAAAAGGACTATTAGTAAATTTGTGAATTACAGGGTAGTTTATCTTTCTGTTAGTAAGAACCAGCTGAAGCCCTCAGTGTCAGGTGCACCGTGGGAGGTGGTGGAACCTTCCCTTGTCACCACCCCCATGAGCCACCATCAGCCATAACCTGCACTTTGGGGAAGTCTCGAATTATCCCTCACTTTTGCCCCTCTTCAGTCTGTTCTTTCCACAGTGAATGAGAAGACCACTTCTTCCTTCAAATCCTTGAGTGGTTTTCATTTTCCTTTAGACAAAGTCTCTGCCTGGCTGGCCTCTGCCTGTCCCTCCTGGATATCTCTCCAGCACTGCCCCCACCTGGGGCTCTGGTTCCCTGACCTTCACCTGGTCCTGTCACACCTCCCAGCCTCTTCTCTCAGCCTCTTCTCCCTTCAGAACCTTCCTTCTTGTTATCCCCGACAGTGGGACACAAAAACCCTCCTTGTCAGGCTGACTCTTACAAGATCGGAAGCCTATGTAACGCTCTCATAGCAAGCTCCCCTTGTCTTCATGGATTCTCAGATGGAAGGAATTATCTGTGCGATCATGCATGAACTTCTACCTACCCTCCCCTAGTAGCTGTTTGGGGCTAAGGATGGGGACCACTCTTACTTGCTCACCGTTCTGTCCCTCTGTCCCATCCACATGTGTTGAAGGAAGGAAATACACAGAATAGCGGTAAGATATGAACTGTTCAAACATTCCCTGGATGGGCTCGTGTGTTTTGATTCATTAATGTACCACCACTGAGGGTAGAACACAGCCACAGTCTTGCCAGTAAGGGTGCAGTTACTGTCATTAATGAACTTCCTAATTAAGCCATGATTATTGAGAAGGTATGTCTTCAAGAAGTTCTGTTTTTATTAAGATGTTTACTCCAAAGCTAACTGAACAAGCCAAATCTAGCCTCCTGTTTCACGATTGCCAGCGAAATGAGCTCATGGACTCCTGTGAACTGATGATGTTAGATCAGAAGTTTCTCGAGGCCAGGGCCCAGTCACTGATGATACCTCTACAGTAGTTACATCAGTAGTTCTCAGTACTTTTTTAAAATAACAGATGAATAGCAAGTGTCTTCCCTGCAGCTTCCTGCCGCACTTCCTGCCCTCCATCGAGTGTTTCTGCCGAGCCTGCTTCAGGCCTGCCGACTACAGAGAGCTACTTTTAAGTCTGAGTATCCTTTCCACTCTCATCACAAATCAGAGCTCATCTACCTTTTGGCTGTTTGTCAAAAATGTGTCATTTTATTATTAAAAATATACAGTCATCACGGATTTTGATTAAATTTTATGCTAGATCATTAAAATTATTAAACATCCCATATTTTAAATATATTGTATATAATGAATAATAATTATTATGTATTTTAAGTCAATAAATGTAGAATTTAGTTGTAAATTACTGAGAATACTCTACTGAAAATGCATCATTTAAAATACGCTATTTCAAATATGAAATGAAATACAGTAACATAATTCAATTCAAGTCAATTAATCTTTGGTTCGCCTATTTATTCATTCATCCAACAAAATCTCTTTAAGTGAGTATGATGGGTAGGTCCTGGCTCGTTGCCCCCCTAGACAGATGCATGGGGTGTGGTGCAGGTGTGATGTGTCCGCAGGCGCGCTGGGCCCCCAGGCAGTGTTCCCCTTCCCCTCCCCAGGCGTAGATTTCAGCCGTCGCTGCCGGACCTGACCGGTTCTGGAGGTGGTCACCCCCCACTCACTGTCACCTGCCTCCCACAGGGGACAAGGGCCTGTCCGACATGCCCTACGACAGCAGCGCCAGCTACGAGAAGGAGAACGAGATGATGAAGTCCCACGTGATGGACCAAGCCATCAACAACGCCATCAACTACCTGGGGGCCGAGTCCCTGCGCCCGCTGGTGCAGACGCCCCCGGGCGGCCCCGAGGTGGTCCCGGTCATCAGCCCCATGTACCAGCTGCACAAGCCGCTCGCGGACGGCACCCCGCGCTCCAACCACTCGGCCCAGGACAGCGCCGTGGAGAACATGCTGCTGCTCTCCAAGGCCAAGTCGGTGCCCTCGGAGCGCGAGGCGTCCCCGAGCAACAGCTGCCAAGACTCCACGGACACCGAGAGCAACAACGAGGAGCAGCGCAGCGGCCTCATCTACCTGACCAACCACATCGCCCCGCACGCGCGCAACGGGCTGTCGCTCAAGGAGGAGCACCGCGCCTACGACCTGCTGCGCGCCGCCTCCGAGAACTCGCAGGACGCGCTCCGCGTGGTCAGCACCAGCGGGGAGCAGATGAAGGTGTACAAGTGCGAACACTGCCGGGTGCTCTTCCTGGATCACGTCATGTACACCATCCACATGGGCTGCCACGGCTTCCGTGATCCTTTTGAGTGCAACATGTGCGGCTACCACAGCCAGGACCGGTACGAGTTCTCGTCGCACATAACGCGGGGGGAGCACCGCTTCCACATGAGCTAAAGCACCCCGCGTCCCCCCCGAGCCACCCCCAGGAAAAGCACAAGGACTGCCGCCTCCTCGCTCCCGCCAGCAGCATAGACTGGACTGGACCAGATAACGTTGTGCTTGGATTTGTAGCTGTTTTTCGTTTTATGTTTGAGTTGGTTGGGGTTTGATTTGCTTTTGAAAAGATTTTTATTTTTAGAGGCAGGGCTGCATTGGGAGCACCCAGACCTGCTACCTTCCTCGATGTTTCCCCAGACTGCTGGCTGAGGTTCCCTCACCTGTTGCTTCCTAGAATCCCCTTTTCCAAATGATTAGTCTAAATTTTCAGAGAGAAATAGATCAAATAGGCCATAGCCGAGGAAGGAGCGTGCTGGTCTCTGTGCTAAACACGGGGTTCACACGCCAGGTCTTTTCCAGTCCCAGACACAGGGAGCACAGCTCCTGCCTGTGGTTCTGCCAGTGAGCAGACAGGACAGACGTGCCACCACCCAAATGCCCATACAGCAGGGCCAACAGTCTGTGCCCAGGCCAGCTTCAGGCTACATGCAGCTAGGGCTGAGAGGCTGCACTTTTGAGAGAAAATACTATTTTAAGTCGTATTCTGCGTAGGAAAATGAACTGTTTGGGGAAAGTCTTGTCTGTCTATCTGCCCTGGGTGGAGGGAGAGGTCAGACTAGGGCCTTTCGGCTCCTCCTGGATTCACTGGCTTTGCGGAGACTGCTCAGATGACCTGACCCTCCCAAGGCTTGCTGCCGGCATAGGAGGAGCCGGTCTTCCTGTGGGCATATCTGGGGAGCCCAGTTCCCCACTTTTTCACTCCCATGCCTTTAATGGCCCCCAAGTCTATCACTACAATTTAAAAACCAGTCCTGAAATTTGGATCTTCATTAGTTTTGAACCTCTCAAACGGCAACATTCATCAGAAACCAAACTTTATTTCAGATCTGTTCCTTCCCTGGCTGGTTCCACCTAAGAGCAGAAGAAGCCTCATTTCCTGAAGAAATCCAGTTCTAGTCCTCATTTTAGTTATGTACATCTGTTTGTAGCCACAAGCCTGAATTTTTCAGTGTTGGTAAATTTCTTTCCCTCTTCTCACTGTATATTATTCTCATTTTAAAGCCCATAAAAGAGTGATTTAGAATGATCATTAATTTTCAGCTTAATGAACTACATGAAGCCCAGCATCTCTTTTGCTAACACACAGAACTCACCTGTTTGAAAATAAGCTTTCAAACATGGTGAAGCTCTTTTCTGTAAAGGTAAAGCAGCATGTGTATTCACATGCTGGCTCTGCACCTGTGGGATATTGGAATGCACAGGGCAATCGAGGGACTGAGCCAGACCCTCGGATAGTAATGCCACCAGATCCCCCAGGAAAGAGGAGGCAGGTGGCGCTGCAGGTGAGAACCCTGCCCATCCATGCGATGACGTGGAGGCACTAAAGCCCAGGAAAGGTGTGTGGAGATTCTAATCCCAACCGGCAAAGGTCTCCTTCAAAATTAATGCTATCATTAAGGTCATTACTCTCAACCACCTAGGCAATGAAGAATACACCATTTCAAATATTTACAACACTTCACCAACACTGTCCCAAGATGAAGCAACAGAGGGGAAATTGTACATAAGCACCTCAGCATTTAATCCAAACAGGGGTACTTAGTCTCAGCACTATGACATTTCGGGCTGAATACTTATTTGTTGGGAGGGAGCTCTCCTGTGCATCGTAGGATATTCAGCAGCATCCCTGGTCACTACCCAGGAGAGGCTGGTAGCACCCCAAATTGACAACCCAAACTGTCTCCACGTACCACCAACTGTTCCCTTTGAGGAGAAATCACTCCTGTCGGAGAACCACGGACCTGAATGAATTCTAAACCTATCAAAGGTCTGGGAAGCCTTCCAAGAAAAATAAATAAATAAAATAAGGCACTTGAAGAATATTCTCAATATTCCCAGTCAGCAGTATCAAGCCTGACTTGTGATCCTGTGGAATCATGACAAATTCTATAAATGAATTATTTCCCTTCAGTCTTCAAAAACATATTTTCTCATAAACATTTGAGTTTTGTGGAAAGGATGGAGTTTACAAAGATAGCATTCTTGAGTCATGGATTTCTCTGCTTACAGAAGGGTGTGGCATTTGGAAACTGGAATAAACAACATAGCTGCACCGATGCACTGAGCGAAGGAAGAGAGAGGAGCAAGGGCTTTAGACAGCACTCATTCAATATGCAATTACAGAGAAAGATGCGCCTTATCCAAGTTAACATCTCTAAGGTGAGAGCCTTCTTAGGGTCTCTCTAAGAGACTCTCTTGGGTTTGTTGCAAAGTTCACCTACTCTGTCCTTTTCCATTCATCCCACTGTGTCAATTGGTTGAAGAAAGTTATTTTTCAAGTGGAATTCAAACAAAGCTCAAACCAGAACTGTAAATAGTGGCTGCAGGAATTCTTTTCTAAACTGCTTTGCCCTTTCCTCTCACTGCTTTTATAGCCAATATAAATGTCTCTTTCCACGCCTTCTGTTGTGGTTTTATAGTGTAACACCATTTTTCTTTGAAACTCTTGTATTTAAAGTAAGGTTTCATATTATGTCAGCAAGTAATTAACTTATGTTTGAAAGGTGGTCATATCATATACCAAAAGTTGCTGAAGTTTCTCTTCTGGCTGGTAAAAGTAGGAGTTTGCATGACCTCACATTTTTCGTTGTGTAGTTCATTCTGTTGTATGATGGCATGAGTATGTGTCTTGGGTACCGCTGTGTACTGCTGTGTGCCTAGATGCCATGCCCTCTCGTTGTGTTTGAAGTAAATATTGGAGACAGGAGGGTTACCCATAACAGCTTGGCCTGTTGATTACAGCTAGAAATCACTGTTTTTTGTTCCCTCCCGCTCCCTGCCACCCCAGCTTCCCAGGATGTGGATAGCCTGAATCTCAGCCCCTTGCCTCATATTCCTTCTGTAATTTGTACCTAGAGAGTGTGATTATCCTAATCCAAGAGTCACTAAAAAACATCGCATTATCATTGCATTAGCACCAAAGGATAAGTCCTAGCACCTGTTGCTTCAGATAGCAGCATGTCCCATTTCAAATTTAGACTTAGCCCCATAATAAAATCTTAGGATCTTCCTTAAGAAAGAGCTACCTGAGATGTAGGTTTGTTATATGGTTTTCCCTCCTGTTTTGTGCTTTTCTCTCTCTCTCTTTTTTTTTTTTTTTTTTTTTTTTTTTTTTTTTTTTGACTGCACTATGAGTTTTGTCGTGTCCTTTTCTTGCCAAAACAAACACGACATGAACTGGACTTACTCAGACAAATCATGACGCCGATGTATCCTTCCTTTCTTCAGTTCCAGCAATAATGAATGGTCAACTCTTTTAAAATCCGTATCTCTCTTATTCATTTCAGTGTATTTTTACTTTAAGATAAACCAAAATTATGAGACTTATTTAAGATGTACAGGCATCAGGAAAAAAGAAGCACATATGCTTTCGGTGCGATGGCACTCACTGTGAACATGTGTAACCACATATTAATATGCAATATTGTTTCCAATACTTTCTAATACACTTTTTTATAATGTTGTTTGTGGTGATTGTTCAGGTCGAATCTGTTGTATCCAGTACAGCTTTAGGTATTCAGCTGCCCTTCTGGCAAGTACATGCACAGGATTGTAAATGAGGAATGCAGTTATAATATTTCCAGTCTGCCTCTATGATGATGTTAAGTTATTGCTGTTTACCTGTGAACAAGGGATGTACCACTGGAGGAACAGAGTATCCTTTTGTACACATTTTGAAATACTTCTTCTGTAGTGATAGAACAAATAAATGCAACAAATACTCTGTTTGCCCTATCCCCTGAAACCACACTGCCATAAGAGAAGACCCAGCAGCAGAGCAGGAATCCGCCTAGACTTTCTCCCAGTGAGATCCCAGTATGAGAGGGAGAAGAGATAGGCCTCGGGACAGCGGCAGTACCACTTGGGAACGTGCGTGGTATCATGTGACTGGCGCAGCAGCTCAGTGCAGCAAACCTCCCATCTGCAACAGTGCTGGGCAAGGGGATTCTAAGTCTCAGTCTTGAGGGTGGGTGGGGATAGAGGGCAGCAAGAGATACATTTCCAGTTCTCCACTGCAGTAGGCTGCAGTCATTCCGTGAGAGGCCGGGCCCAGGGTGGTGGGAGCACAGAGGGCAGAGTGACCACAGTGAGTACACCTTCAGCATAGCCACTTTGCAGAACTGCAAGGACTGGGCCAGTGCCGCGAGGTTTGTCTGAGCTCTGCTGCAGAATCTCACTACTGCAGACTCTGGTGAAAATCGTTGTGCCTTTCGGATGAATGGCCAGATATCATTTGGGTTCAGATCTAGCCAATCTAGCCACATTGTACCTTTAATGTGGCACAACATCAGATCCAAACAAGACGAAACTCCAGTGAAATAAACTGTATTGGGTTTCACATCAGGGCCTGGCATCACTACCCAAGCAGGACTTTTGAAAATGTCTTTGCCAAGGCAGCATCTTTAGGAGAAGTTTTCAGCCTCCTTAGGTTATCTCATTGAGGGATCATGTTGTATATATGTACATAAACATATAATGATACATCTGTTTACAAATCTGTTCAGCCATTTTTATAGCTATGCCTTGCATATTTCCCAGTGATCATGGGGCAAAAAAAAAAGAAAATCTACAGTTAGTTAAAAAATAGCCTGGACTCAAACTAAAAGGGAAAAGTAATTTAGAAGGGTGGGGGCAGGACGAGAGGATGATAAAGATGTTGATGTATATTTTTGTAACACTGTAAAATACAGGCTAGCAGCTCAGTGCCTTAGGAAGCTAGACCAGCAACATAGTGACATGAAAAAGAGGTTCCAAAACTCTTTTAGGAGCCCCAGGTAGGATGACAGGCTTCATTTGTTAGTTTTCACCACCTTGTCTTTTACAGAAGAATTATCCTCAATATAGCCTTTCGACGCTGTAAATCTTGAGTATTCATTTACCCTCTTCTGGTCTCCTGGAAATGGCTGCCGGCCACATTTCACTTCTCTTCCTGAGGAGTGGGGTAAATTTAAGAGTCAAGCTATAGTTTATTTTATTTTATTTTATTTTATTTTATTTTATTTTATTTTATTTTATGAGATGGAGTTTCGCTCTTGTTACCCAGGCTGGAGTGCAATGGTGTGATCTCTGCTCACTGCAACCTCTGCCTCCTGGGTTCAGGCAATTCTCCTGTCTCAGCCTCCTGAGTAGCTGGGATTACAAGCACGTGCCACCATGCCCAGCTAATCTTTTGTATTTTTAGTAGAGACAGGGTTTCACCATGTTGACCAGGATGGTCTCGATCTGTTGACCTCGTGATCCACCCGCCTCGGCCTCCCAAAGTGCTGGGATTACAGGCTTGAGCCACCGCCTCCGGCCAAGCTATAGTTTAGATGTTACTATAGAATTTTGGAATTGGAAATTTAAAATCAGGACTGGGGACTAGGAGATCCAAAATTCCTGATCTCATTTCTGATGAGTTTTTCACATTTTCTGTCAAAATAAAATGTCTTGGAGGTTGTGACTCCCTGGTGAAACCGTCTCACATGGGTTCTCGAGGAACAAAATCCCTTCACCTGTTTGCAAAACTCAGGTCTTGTCTTTTACGGCCTCTCAACTCCAGCACAGGGCCAGACACAAAACAGACACTCACGGTATTGAGCAATTGGTAAAAGACCCAGAGGAAGTTCTCAGACAACCAAAGCAGAAACTCCACGTTCCTCCAAAGCCCAGGACATCCACCTGAAAACTTCTGGCCTTTTCTCTGCACTAGAACTCAGAACCGCTGGCACAGGGTTGCTGTGCAGAGCTGAAGTCCAAATGTTGCTGTTGCCTGTACAGATCTGTCTTCTCTGCCTTTTTGTAAATCGTCTACCCGTAACGTCCTCTAAGGAAGCAGAAAGGGATTCCCCATGGCTCTTAGAATAGCAACCCTGCCCCCAGCATCCTAGGCTCCCATTGGCTTCTCCTGCCATTAAACAGGCCTGAGCAAAGCCAACCCCCAGTTTTGGGCCACCATGAGACTCCCTCATGGATTCCAGCCTTGCCCAGGCTCCGTTGCCTCCAATCGTCTCCCAGGATTTTATTTCCCAAATGCAGCTCGGAATCACCTGAGTGGCTATTACAAATGCAGCTTTCAGAAGCCTCCTCCTGAACACTCTGGAGCTGGAGGTCTGGACACAGCCCACCCATGAGATGTGGGACTAGCCCCCAAATTGTGCTAAGCAGATTTCCAGTCCTTTCCTCCTTGAGACAGTTACACCCTTGCCTCTCTTCCTGAGCCTAAACCCATTTTTGGAGGGAAGGAGAGGAATCAATAGTCTCTTTTTTTTTTTCCTCCCAAGTTTGAAACAACCCAGTTATTATAGATAAAAGAAGCAACAAGTGGGAAACAAAAAAAGAAGTAGCTTTCTTACTTATAAAACTGAGAGGAGAGGACATAGCTTCACAGTGTGACCCCAGCGGGCATTACGCTCATCCTGCGTTAGACAGACTTGCCACCTGGCCACAGGTAGCAATTAAGCTCAGGAGCCCCCAGCAAAGGCTGAGCCCTGCCCTACAGGATGGGGAGAGGGGACCAGACCCTGAAGCTACAGGCAGCAGAACCCCGTGGAGCAAGAGGAAGCACACTCGGTTCCTACAACCAGACTCAAGTTCAAGCCACTCCTTTCCTCCTGGGGAAGGGGCTTTACCAAAGCCCATCCACATGGAAACAGGGGCAAGTTTCCATGGCCATCCCCACATCACACCCTGGATCTCAGCATGTTTCCCCTAGTGGAGAAGCCAAGCCTGTTCACCCGGACCTCCGTGGTCCACTGAGATGGGAGGTCATGCTTAGCTGCCATTGGCCTCCGCAGCGACTCTCAGTGTCACAGTGCCTCTCTCTGGCCACACTTCAGTGGGAGCCTCCTAAAGGCCTCCCTGTCTTCCCAATCTCCTTAGTCCAACCCAGCCTTCTGAGTTCTCAATAGTGATTGTGTTAAAGCAGGAAACTGATCAGTCACTGACCCTGCCTGGCACACAGATCTCCCCTGGTTTCCTACTACTTCAAAGCCAAGTGCCATTTTCTCAGCCAGGAGCTCCAGGTGGCCCTGCCTTAGAGGTGTCCCTCTGGGCACGTTGAGATGGGCATATGGCATCGTGGTTAGGAACAGGACTCTGGAGCTGCCAAGCCTGGGTGTGAATATCTGCTCTGTACATTAAGGCTGTGTGACATTGGACACATGGCCTAACCTCTCTGAGCCCCAGTTTTCTCCTTACTGAAAGCTTTGAGGGTTATAGTGAGCAAGGATTTAATCCTCAGTGTCTGTGGAGCGCTGGGCTCAGTGCTGCGAGAGTGGCTGCTCAGCCTTTCTTGCCTCACCTGGCGTTTGTATAGCACCGTCTAGCCCCCTTATCTTGTTCCAGCTGCGTGACAGCCAAGCAAGACAGAGACTATCCACATCCCCCTTAGAAATCAGACAGGTGTGTCTGGGAAGCACCAAACCACCTTTGTAGCCACATTCATGTTCTGTATGAGCCTGGGGAAGATGATATGTGCCCCATCATAAAGTGAAAGAAGCATCTCAGGGCTCCACAGAGCACTCAAGTCCACTGCAGCAGAGACAGAATGGGCCCAGGCCCCTCAGTCCCTGTCTTCTCCCGGTTCCCATTCCATCTCGGCAGTGCCACCTCCAGGGAGGATATGGGATTTGATACACAGGAATGCCAGGGTTTGCAATCCCATGGCTTCTGAATTCCAGGGAGGGGAGGAGAAAGCTGCGGGTGAGAATCTGCTTTCAGAGAAGTTTCCCTTGGCTGCCTCCTCAACCAAACTCATCCACAAATTGCACATCAAGTTTCCCAGCCTCCATCTCAGTGAGCAGGCCCCTTCACTTCAGAGAATTCAGAGGCCTCTCCAGGGCATATGCCAGGGCAGGCACAGAGCGAGGACGTGGGGTTGGGGGTTCTGGAGAGCTCTGGTACCCTCCAGCCCTGCAGAGCGTGCAAGGCAGCGGAGCTACTGGAGAGCTGGTCCCTGAGAGTATGGAGAATGCATGAATCTGAACTAGAAACAGAAGGGCAGGAGGACCAGAAAAAGAAATGAGAGTCAAACAGAGGCTGGCCAATGAAGGGCTATTTCAGAGCGCTGGAAACACAAGCTAAGCTAAGCATCAGGGGCCTGGGAGAACTCTGCAAAATGTCAGGAAGCCTGAAAGGATCTGGTCAAAGATGAGCGCAATTACAAGTACACTCAAGACCAAAGACAAGAGCAGGAACGTTTCCCCAATTAGACAGTGTCCCTTCTGTGTCCCTGCCGCCAACATACAATGACACATTTGACTTTTGACTTCATTCTGTTATCTCTGCACTGAGTCTTACTCCTGGCTCTTCTTAATCTTAAGATCCTTCATTGGTTTGCTGAATAACTCGAGCTGCAAAGGGGGAAACTGGGAAGTCGGGAATAAAGTAAATCAATTTCTTCTTGACACAAAAGACACTCCTGACGTCACAGAGTGACCTGAGCCACTCACATCACATCACTCCTGAGCCCTCAGTGCCTGGCTGTGTGCTGGGATCAAGGCTCACAGCATCACAGGGGTTGGGGATTGTAACCACCTGTCTGTCTCTATGAGTACCGTTGTCACCTCTAGTTCTGCAGATGAGGATTTTGAAGCTTGGAAAAGCTGAGTAACCTGCCTGGGGTCACACAGCTGGAAAGGACTAGGACCAGCACTTGTCCCTGGGCATCTGGCTCCCGTGCCTGCCCTCCAGAAAGCATGGGGAGAAATGACCCAGCACAAAGGTGATTATGAAGAAAGGGGCAGTGAACAGTG